GCAGACGGCTGATGAGGACCACGCTTGATGCGATGGAAGCTTCCGTCCAGGTTCGTCGGGCTGAATACGTCTGCGCGCCCTCCTGCCGATGCTGCTGCTCTGCCGCCGCCTGCTCCCCCTCCCTCCTGCTGCCGTCGCCCTCTTCTCTTCCCCCAGCTGGACGACTCAGGGTTGAGGTGCACGCGCTGTAAGTGCTCGTCAGCGGCGGCGGCCAGGACGGCCTGGCTCGCCACGCCGTGCACGGAGCTCGAGGCGGCAGGACGGGCATTCACTCCTCCGCGGGGGTTTAGAGTGCATGTTGGGAGGGGGGGGGGGGCGTCGCTCATTGCTCGCACAATATGGCGTTTTCCCAAGATTCCGGCGTTTGGATCTGCAGGAGTTGCGGGTTCTCTGGGGAACTCGTTATGCGCGGGTTGTCCCAGCCCTGCGATCCCCAGCTGGTTTCCAAGAAGCGGCGAGAATTTTTGAACCGTTGTGAGAGGGGCCTTAGGCACTCGTCCAAACTCTAATTTTTTAATTTTGTGACTACGTCATTGATCCCATTACATTCCGTTCCTCCCCCCCTCCTCGTATTTCTCCTCCACCTCCTCCTCCTCCACTTCCTCCTCCATTCTCCTCCCCCTTCCTCCCCCCCTCCTCCTCCTCCACCTCCTCCTCCTTCCTCCTCCTCCTCCTTCCTCTTCCTCCTCCTCCCCCCTCCTCCTCCACGTCTCCCCTCCTCGCCTCCTTACCACCCCTCCTCCTCCTTCCTCCTCCTCCTCCTCCCTCCTACCGCATCCTCCCTCATCCTCCTCCTCCTCTCCCTCCTCCTACCTCCTCCTCCTCCCCCCTCCTCTCCTCCTCCTCCTCCTCCTCCTCCTCAACAGCAGCAGCACAAAGCTGCATCATCATCAGGATTCAGCATCGATCATTATCACATCAAACCGAATACATAATAAATGATCGTAATCATCATCATCACCGATATCCATCAACACTCATCATCATCATCATCATCATCAGCATCATCATCATCATCATCATCATCACATCATCATACAGCATCATCACCAGCATCAGCATCATCATTAGCATCATCATCAGCATCAGCACCTCCATCATCACCATTAGCATCAGCATCATCATCAGCATGCGTATCAACATCCTCATCATCATCAGCATCATCATCAGCATCATCAGCATCATCATCATCCTCATCCTCATCCTCATCCTCATCAGCATCAGTATCATTATCATGATCATCAGCATCATCAGCATCATCATCATCATCATCATCATCAGCATCAGCATCAGCATCGTCAACATCATCATCATCATCATGATGATCACAAACATCATCATCATCATCATCATCATCATCATCATCATCATAATCATCATCATCATCATCATCATCATCATCATCATC